AGGACACGGCCTCCCCTCGGGATGGGTCCCTGCCTGTGCTGTGTCCCCTGGGCATCGTAGGGTGCTTCCCCCTGCTTTTTCTCTCTGCTGTGAGAGCCACCCTTTCTAACTCTCTCTTCTTTCAGGACCTGCTTGGCTGGTCGCGGAAGGACCTGTGCAGTGAATTTGGCATCGGCAGACCTCACCAGGATGGCACCTTCGACTGGACCCATGAGCCTATGGCCAGGGAGAGAGACTGGCCTGGTGAGACGGAGCAGGACCAGGAATTTGGGACCAAATCAAGCTGGGACAGCACCCTCAGCATCAGGGACAGGGACCGGCAGGACGCGCCCTTCAGCAGTACTGGGAGGGACTGGGGCAGCAATCACAAAAGGACAGAGCTGATGGGGGAAGCGAGGCTGGGCCGCAGTGACTGGCCCACGTCCCACGGCACTGGGGAAAGCTGCCTGCAGGATCAAGGCTTTGGTGCTGGCAAACCCGAGTGGGGCTCAGGCTATGGCCTGGGCAGTGTGGAGGAGATGGGCTCTGGGAAGGCTGACTGGAGCCATGGGTATGGTGTGAGGCATGGCCAGCAGCAGGACAAGGAGCTAAGTTCTGGGCAGCCCAACTGGGCTGGCAGGTACAGCTCTGGGGATCCGGAGAACCAGGGCAGGGATATCGCAGCTGCGTGGGCTGGGGAATATGGCACCGGTGGCATGGAGATGAAGGACAAGGAGCTTACCCCAGACTGGGGCACTAAATACAGTAGCAGGGATACGGAGACCAAGGATGAGGATTTAACACTGGGCTGGGCTGGCAGATCCAGCACTGGGGACACTGTGGTTCCAGACAAGTTCAGCCCCAGCAGCCCAGCCTGGGACAGCAAATACAGCAGCAGGGAAATGGAGAGCCAGGACCGGGAGTTCAGCCCCAGCAGACCAGCTTGGACTGGGGAATACAGCACCCAAAGCATGGAGAGCCAGGACCGGGAGTTCAGCCCCAGCCGACTGGCCTGGGGTGATGAGCGCAGCACCAGGGACATGGAGAGCCAGGACGACGGGTTCACACCCAGCAGACCAGCCTGGGATGACAGATACAGCACCAGGGACATGGAGAGCCAGGACCGGGAGTTCAGCGCTGACAGACCAACCTGGGGTGATGAGCACACCACCGGGGACTTGGAGACCCGGGATGGGGAGTTCAGCCCCAGCAGATCAGCCTGGGCCAGTGAGTACAGCAGCAGAGAGATGGAGACCCAGGACAGGGAGTTCAGCCCCAGCAGACCAGCCTGGGATAGCGACTGCGGCAGCAAGGACATGGAGACCCAGGACAGTGGGTTCCTACCCAGCAGACCGGCCTGGGAAGACAGATTCAGCCCCAGGGACGTGGAGAACCAGGACCGTGAGTTCAGCCCCAGCCGACCAGCCTGGGCCAGCGAGTACAGCTCAATGAGCACCGAAAAGGAAGCAGGAGAGTTTAGTCCTGACCAGCTGAGCTGGGCTGGTGAGTGCAGCGTTGGCCAAAGTGAGCCAGTCGGTGGTTTTGGTGTCAGGAACGATGATGTGCCTGGCTGCTGTGCCCCTGATCTCCCAGCCCAGGAGCCTGGCTGGGGCAGTGCTGACCAGCAGGAGCATGACACCACCGAAGAGCTTGGAGGAGCTGAGTGCCACAACCAATTTGGCATCACTGGGACAGAGTGGGTACCAGATCCATCTGACACCGGAGCATCATCAGATGGCTCAATGTCCTGGGCCAGTGAAATGAGGCCTGGGGGCCAGCAGGAGCCTCTGGGTGACTGGCACAGGGATCTCTCCTTCAGCAGCTCAGGTGCCACCAGCGGCATGGGCACTGGTGATGCTGGTGGGGTTGAACCAGGCCAGACGGTGTGGGGCCAGGGCCTGGGCAGCCTCCCTGGGGCTGCAGTGGAGGAGCCAGGCTGGAGCCGGGACCCTGACGCCACCGGCTGGACCATGGAGCTGTGCGACGCTGAAGCCAAGCGCCAGGAATGGGCCAGTGCGTTCGGTGCCCGCTGTGCCGCCCGGAGCCGGGACTTCGGCGCAGGGGAGCAGAGTCCAGGAGGTGACACTGACTCGGTGGATGGGTAAGGAGTGCGCTGGTGGTGGCAGTGTGGCCCTGGGGAGGGATGTGACCCTATCAAGTGCCCGTGCTGTCCAGCAGCAGGGACTTGTGATGCTGTGGGCCTTGTGCTGGCATCCTACCATGCCTCCCTCATGACTGAGGGACCTGCTGCCTCGGCCCTGGGGTGTCAGGGCTCCTCTTCCTCAATCTCCACATTACCCTGTGTTGCCTCCAGCCCTGCAACGGGATCCAGAACTTTTGGAGGTTTCCACTTGTCCCACCAATATTGGCTTCCTTGAGCTGATCTGGGAGGGGATGATGCCTTCGGGACTTCTTGTACCAGTCTCGCTCTGATGTGGGGAGCTGCATACCAAGTTTGGGGGAGCTTGTGTTCCCTTGACCCCCTGAAAAAGCAGCAGAATTAGCCCTGGGCCCTTATTGCTTCACCAGGATGTGGGAACCCTGACTTCAGCCAAACTTGCGGAGCTGGAGATTCCCAAAATGATAAATTCCCTCAAGGTTCCTGAAAATAAGGATCCCATGAGGAGGGAAGAAAAAGCCCATGGGCCTTGGGAAGGCCGCAGGCTGGGTAACCATAGTGGGGCAGTGGGGAGCCCCCATCCCTGCCCAGGAGCCGGGTGGTTTCCTGCTGCCAGCACCATCCTGCACCCTGGATGTCCCTGATTCTCCTCCTACCCCTGGGGCCCTTGGTCCCCCCGGTGTCCCCGTGGCCACCTCCTGAGGCTGGTGACCCCGCTGGGGATTCTGACTCCTTTCCCTGCCCTGAGGGGGAAAACTGGCCTGAAGCCCCTGTGAGTCTGGCAGCCTCCTTGTCCTCCCTAGACCCCAAATTCTGCCCCAGGCTTTGGGAAGGGGCTTTGTGGGAACTTCACAGAGGTGCTCCCCTCTTGGTGTGATATCCCGGCAGAGGGAGGGGAGAGTTTTGGGCACCTGGACCCTGCCCTGACTTCATGGGAGCAACGTGTGACCCTCCCAGTGCCTCAGTTTCCCCTGCAGGCTCATGGCAGCAAGGTGTGGGGCATGGAAAGGGTTTGTGTTAGCTGGAGCCAGAGGAACCCTGGGGTCTCGTTTTGTCTCCCCAAGCAGAACCATCCACTTCTCAGACCCCAGCCCACCGATGGACGATGCTCCAACTGACCCCCCGGCTGCAGAGACCCCCCAGAGCGAGCCGCCCAGCCCCACCGAGGAGGAGAGAGACTCCCCTGAGCCGGCTGCTACCCCACGGAGCCCCAGGGCCTCCCCTCCGCTGCTGGAGGCTGCCAGCGGGACCCTGCCTGGCACAGAGAGTAAAGAAGCCCCCTTGGACCACTTGGATGGGAAGAGACCACCAAGCTGGGAGGAGAAGGGTCTCTGCCTGTGCACCCCACAGCCTGAGGAATCCCTGGACCCCACCAGGCAGGAGTTCACCTTCCTGGAGGTGAGCGGGGACAGGGCAGCTTCCAGCCCCCTTGTACAGCCCTAGGGGTGCCCAGCCACTACAGAGACACTTGGCTGGGGACCCTGTTCCTGTCCCCATCCTGGGACTGGGGCTTTTCG